TTATACTTGATTAAATTTTCCTGTTAGTAGAAGAACTAATAACTAAAGCGACCATAAAGTTTCATATATACTTAATAAGTAGTGTGACTAGTTTTGTATATGAGCGAAGTTGGCACGTTTCTTATTCAAGTATATGTGGATTTCATGTAACATATTGGCCAATTAAATGGATCGTCAACCATGCTAATATATACAGTATCGGTATATATATAATATATATTATTATATTTAATCAAGATCTGGATAATCATTTCCTAATTTAAAAATATATAAATAATTTTTTTTTGTTTACAAAACAAAATGCGATTGTTTTTTTTACCTATCAAAATTTTTATATATTATGTTTTCTTCTATTTCTTATTCATATTTGTCTAAAGCAATTTCTGATTGTGAACTTCCAACACAAGAAACTTTAAATATTTTATTATCAAATTAGCAAATAGAAATTTTAAAGTTATTTTATAAAAAATAGGCAAAATTTACTTAATAGACTTCTTGAAACTAAAAAAAATGAAAAAGCAATAATTAATATACCAAGTATTTAGCTACCTAAAAGAAATAAAACTAAACTATCAAAATTAAAACTATCAGAACTTTGTTTTTGGTTACCAAAAAGCTACTTTTCAAAAATTAAACCTGATTTTATACTATATCTTGAAGAAAATAATATTAAAGAATCAATTACATGGTCTCAATTAGAATATACTGCTTGGGTTTTAGATATAAGTTAGTAAATATTATTAAAAAAAATTTAAGTTATATATAAATCTAACTATATGATAATTTTTAGGTCTATAATAAACATGTATATCAAATTGGTTCTAATAAATAGATTGTCAAAGAATGTTTAAAGCAAAAATTAATAGAAGAGTAATTTTATATATAATGTACCTATACTGTAATTACTATTTTAATTATAATTAATTTGTATTTTATTTTATAGCTAATAATTGTAGATGAAGAAATAAAAAAACAAATTTACAAGTTATTGAATCGGCTATTCAAGTTGCAAGTAATGATAAATTGGAAATATTATCACAAATTAATAAAAATACTAAAAAGTATAATAGTCCAAACAAAGAAAATATAATTAGTTCTAGTTTAGAATTTGATAGATATTATTAGAAAAATAATATTGTAAATGAACATAAGATAATTAAAATTTTATTTTAAATAATTATTTAAATTAAAATATTTTAATAAATAATTTTTTTTATTTAGAAAATAATGAAGAATATTTTACTGCATCTAATTTTATTAAACTTACCTCTGGCAATAATATAACTACTTTTGCAAATCATGAATCTTCAGATTCTACAAGTAATATAGAATCTGATACAATGTCTAGCAGTGATGAGAAAATGTCTAAAAATTTTTTTTTGCAATCATATCAAAGTATAAAATTTAATTTTTAAAATTATTTAATTTTTTTTTTTTTTTTTTTTTTAATATTAAAGGTGACCACTTAGGCCATTGGCATGAGCTTTATTTCGGATAGT